TACCTCATAGAATTTATCCAGGTACCCGAGGCCCCCAACTTCATAATTACTCCACCGTCCAGTACGCTCCTGGAAGTAATCCAGAACCTTCTTCAAAAGGACGCTATCGAACCAGTCCCCGACAGCACAGTGTCAACACGGGTTCTACTCCCACTATTTTACGGTCCCCAAAAAAGACTGAGGACTCTGTCCTATTATGGACCTCAGGGGACTCAACCAGTTATCTCCTTTCGGAAATTGCAAATGACAACATTACAAAGCATTCTCCCCCTTCTCAGCGAGGGTGTCTGGATGGTAACCTTGGACTTGCAAGACACATATTTTCATATAACTATCCACCCATCTCACAGGACGTTTTTGTGTTTTGCAGTCGCGGAAGGCCATTTTCAGTACAAAGCCCTTCCTTTTGGACTCTCAACAGCGTCCAGAGAGTTTCCAAAAATAATGATTGTCATCACGGTGTGCCTCCGTCTCCAGAGTCTGCTCAACCATATCGATTTAACGCTGGTCACCTTAGACATGTTGGGCCTGAGGGTGAATCTGAAAAAGTCAGTGCTCTTTCCTTCCTTGAGAGTCCAGTTTATTGGAGCAATTCTGGATTCGACTGTCTGCTGAGCCTTTCTCCCTCTCAAAAGGGTGGAAGACATTATCGCTCTCATCAACCTGATAAAAGCACAGGGAGATGCATCAGCAAGACAGATTCAACAGCTCTTGGGCCTGATGGCTGCCACCACAGCGGTTCTTGTCTTCCCCAGACTACAAATGAGACTACTTCAGCTGTGGTTCCTCAAACGTTTCCATCCACAGTGGACCGAGTGTCAATCCCGGGGCATGTTCATTATTGCTGCTCACCTGCCAGGATCACTCAATGTGTATGTGGACTTTCTGAGCAGAGGAGGTGCATCCCTCCATGAGTGGGAGCTCAACTGGGCTTACCTCCAACCAATTTTCCACAGATGGGGTCATCCAGAAATTGATGTGTTTGCGACACGTCAGAACGCAAAGTATTGTCTGTTCTGTACCAGGGCGGGACAGGACCCTCTGTCTCTGGGGGACAGCCTCTTGTTCCCTTGGTCGCACAGGCACATGTACCTGTTCCCACCAATTCCTCTACTAACCAGAGTGCTGAAAGATCATGAAGGAACAACCTCAATGCATCCACGTGGCACCATGGTGGCCACATCAGCACTGGTTCCCAACTCTACTCCACATGTCCCGGGGCACATACATTCATCTCCCCCCGACACCAGTTCTCCTCCTGGCTCAGGAGGGCAGAATGTTTCACCACGATGTACCACACCTCAAACTCATGGTGTAGAGAATCCCTTAGCACAGCTCAGAAACAGGATAGACCTTGTTCTGTTGAAGTGTCAGAAGCCAGCTACATGCGCTTCCTATGAAAGGAAGTGGAGGAAATTCCTG